CAAAAACATACAAACTGTAAATTTATTCATTATTGATATGTACACTTATACACTTTATAGAAATGCAAAAATAAGCTAAACACTTTACCAAACAATTGTCTGAAGATGAATAATTCAAGTTGTGTATCATTCAGTGAAATATTGAAAATTTTACACATAATTCTTGAGCAGAAACTAAAATACAAAATATGATAAAAGTAATAAAACTGAGCACAGTAATATATAATAAATACAGTTCAATATAGACAGAAATATAAATTGTGTGCTCCTGCAAAAGTCTTTGTCGAAATATTTTTATTGTTTATGGCTAATATGTGCAATGAGTTTTAGATCAAATATAATTGCATTTAAAACAAGTGGAAATACCTAAATGCCAATGGTGAGTGATGGTGTAAAAAAAACAAAGCAAAAAAAAGTGTTATAAACACTGAACCTCTACTAAAGAAATTTTAGATTTTAAGAAAGTGAAAGAAGAAGAAAATAAAAAAAATCAGATTGAGTTTTACTTTTCTTTCGAATCATAATATGTTGACTGGATTTGACAGAAAGAAAAGTTAGCTTCTTTGAAGAGTCTTCAAAGTATGGTACTCTTCAAAGTGCCTTAAACTGTTTACAAGTCAACTTAATTAACCCTGTGTGGAGGCACAAGCTGCACCTTTTTTTTTCTTCAGCAAATGCTGGAAAATGCTTCCCAGGTGAGAGCCGTTCCTGTGCATCTACCAGAACTGGTGAATGGATACTTGACAAACAAGAAGGTCCTCCTCTACTTTCAATTAGAGGTTTCACGAGAGATTCCAATAATTGTAAACGGAAGTCATTCTGTTTGTACTTGCTATTTTTAGTTACCTGTTTGAAAAGAATAAAAGAATTAACAATAGACAGGTCAACAAGTCTAAAGAAATGTTTCTTATACCATTTCACAGTTTTACGTGGAATGGAATAATAGCTTAGAAATTGATCATTAAGATCAACCCCTCCCATAAACTTGTTGTAATCCAAGATTAGCTGTGGCTTGATAATCATGTCACCCTGTCTTCTTGTCATTTCTTTTACTGTAGCATTATGCATTGTAGAAAGAGCATAAGCATCTCTTTTATCAGTCCACTTCACAGCTGTCATTGAGCCACAATTGAAAAACTGTGACTCTCCCCTTTTTAACTTACCTGGAAACATGTCTTGGAAGTGGGTCCTGTCCTTCCTACAAGTGCCACAAGCATAAGTACCAAGTGAAAGCAACTTAACAAACAGAGTTGGGGAAGTATAAAAGTTATCAGTAAAAAGAGTGTCCCCTTCCAAGGTACTCTTCAATCAGAGTCATTACAACTGTGCTAGCTAAGGCCTTGGAAGGTGCAGATCCCTCTTTACCAGAGTATATTCTAAAATTTAAACAGAGTCCAGTCACGGCTTCTGCCAGAACCCAAAGCTTGATTCCCCACTTGGTAGGCTTGCTAGGTAGTTACTGTTTGAAAGAAATTCTGCCTTTTGTTCCCAACATTTGCTCATCAATAGAAAGTTCTCTAGAAGGGTTATAGTAAGCTGTCAAAGCTGTTAGTAGATGATCAAGCACAGGTCTGACTTTGAAGAGTTTATCATGCTTAGGATCAGTTTTAGGTAGATTATTAGTATTGTCATTGAAATGAAGAAAGTGAGCAATAGTTATGAATTTTTCTCTGGAAAATATTGAAGAAAGCCAGGGAAACTGAAGGGAAGGAGTGGTAGACCAGTAATCTGTAATAGATGGTAAGCGAGTTATATCCATAGAAATAGTTAAACCAATAAAAGCTAAAATTTCTTCAGGAGTAACATCACTATATTTCAGCAATTTCCTTTTCTTCCTGACATCGTTGTTTAGGTGTTCCCCTTGCTGGTGTGCAAATCTATTTGTTTCTTCAACAATTTTGTAAACAATATTAAGAGAAAAAAAAAGTTGAAAAAATCAAGGAGTCTGACACCTACTTGCTTGACGGGAAACAGGCTCTCCTCGGATGAAGTCCCCCAACAATCTGGGCTGCTCATCTTTGAGAACTTCCCATTTCCATTCTGCATTACAGGCCAGGGGCTTTTCTTGTGTCTTCCTGCCTCTGGCCATTTTGGAAGTTGATGTAGTGCTGGTCATGGGAAGATCACTAACCTCAGATTGTTGGTGGTCATGAGAAGTCTTCTTCCCTTGAAGGTAAGTCAGGCTCCTCAAACAAATTAGAATCCAGCAAAGCTGGTTCTTCCTCTTCCCCGACTTTAATTGTGGCTTCTTCAACCTCAGAGAGAAACTCTTCTTCAGAGGAGGAAGCGAAAAACAACTACAAAGCCTTGTCTAAGAAGAGATTTTTTTTGTTCTTAGAACTGAAGTATCTTCCATCTAAGAAAATGAATATGCTGTTAATATTCAGTTGACATAATGATAACATGATACATATACATTTGAATTATTGAGCTTTGACTTTAAGAATCCATCATACAAATGTACATTTTGTTTGTATGTGTACGGACATAAGCAAAAATCACAAAATATAGTAAAAACTAATTCATATGATGTACAACTTATGAATCTGATTTAATTTGTGATTAAAAGTAAGAAATACAGCATGAAAACTTACAAGTTATGTGTTATATAAAAAAGCATACATCTTACTTTATTTGATATTCAGATAGGTGTTGGGAGATAGTTCAATCCTTCTTTATTCTTGATATCCAGGAAACTAAAAATAAATTCAAGAAACTATTATTCTGTGTAAGGAGCAGGTAAAACCAATACATACAAACAGTTTATACATAAATATGTAAATACTTCTGACATTACATTACTGAAAGATATCACTCCATGTATGATGGTGATATATGTGTGTATAAACTAAAATAAAACAGAGTGAAACTAATTTCAATAAAATTATCTTGTTTAATTATTCATCCTTAGCAACATAACACCTTTGGATATGTATAACTATCATGTATAAAAAAGCCCATCTTACCTTAGATAAAATTTGAAGTGCTCCAACTTCACGATTTCAACGATAAGATTTCAATGATTTTAGCGAAGACTCACGATTTGCTGTACATGGGTTCTCTTGGTAAATGAAATTTTTATTCTTGTACGGTTCTTTTATATATGTATTAAAACTCAGTGTACAAGTGACAACAATAAAGCCCATATGTTAGTCATGAGACAGACTAAACACATTCGTGTCAATAATACCAGGAAAGCTATGACATTCTCACAGTTGGGGTGCAAATATTGAAGGGCTTAAGTTTCAAATTTCAACATAAATCTTGCCTATAATGAGAGGAATGTGACCAGACTAATATTTCAAGTGCTATGAATTGACTTTCTTTGTAATTTATGGTGTCTGTATTGTTTGTAATCTCTTGTAACAGGATGTATCAAGGATTAGGTGGTGTTATTGAAACCACCTGTACTGTAAGCTATTACAACTCACTAGTAGTGGCAATTAGGTTTCTCGGTATAGTGAAACAACATACAAGGACATGTGTTGAAATAAACTTGTTTGAAAGTTCAAAGAAATGATATTCAAGTACCGAAAAGCTTTCTTATCATATCGACAGTAATGTTCAAATGCGCCCATGCGGGGCTGAACGAGAGCGACCCCCAACAGGGGTGAGATAATTACGGACAACGTACAAAGGTCACGCTGCTGACCCCACAGTTTATTCGGCACAATAAACAAAAGTACGGCTGCAATGAAACATAAACATAAACTTGAAATAAAAATATATTTATGAAAGAAAATTAAAATGTTTTTATGTACATATATGAACATGAAATCTTAGTTAAAAACAAAAATACTGATTTAATGTTTAGGTTTGTTTACAAATATTATTTTTGGGTCTTGTATATTACTGAAACCATAAGGATAGTATGTGATTATTAAAGAATTAAAAATAGATAAAATCTGCACTTTATGGATGACACAAATTTTTTGGGATTGCAAAATAATGTACTAAAACATAAAAAGTAATCAGTTCAAATCTGGAACAAATATAAATATGGTAATCATTTCTTATAAATACCATTTCCTAACATAATTTTCCAAGATATTATAGATCATAATGCAAAAAAACTAAACTTATCAGAAGTAACAGGCTTTATGTTTCTTAAACTACATGCATTTATTAAAGTCATTATGAAGTTTTAAAACTTTTTAACCAGTAGTTTTATTGTTGGAATGACAAATAGCAAGACTTGCAATGGCTACTAAGAAAGTTAGTAGCCGGTAGTCATCGAGTTAATTGACAGTCATTGGCCACAGAAGTGTTAAGGGGTGAAGTTGAAAGGCCAAGGGTCAAAGTAGGAAGTAGATATAACTCAAGAAATGGCTCCTCATATCAGCCTTATGGTGGCTATAGGAGTAGAAACTTCAGCTGATTTTATGTAGTATTCCAATATTAGAATCGATTTGTTTAATTACATTCCTCCATAGTGAGTGCTAGCATACTCTCCAAGATATATGACATTTGTGTGCTCTTCCTCCACACCATGTGTATGTTGTTTTATGGAATATTTAGTAAAGTTTTTTTGTTTTTGGTGTAAGGAAATGGCACCATCTATGAATTTAGTTAACATTAACTTACATCACAGATAATAAATGTTCAATAACAACAATAATGGGGTGGAAGGGGTTGTGAACCCCAACTAACATTAACAACAAGCCAGCTTTTCAACATACAAATATGTTGCTGGTATCATTTGTGTCTGATTCTTATTGTAGCTCTGCTAGTGAGGGTCGTATAATTGAAAGAAGAGCTGTATGTGATCTATGTCATCCTGGAGATTTCTTAACCCTTTTACAATGGGTATTCCTTACTATGTATGTCATGAGGTTTTTAGTGACTTACATTAAAAATTTAATAGTATATAAGTTTAAAGCTCTTGATTGTAAAAGGCAATATTTAAATAGAACCTATTCTCTAGGCAGCCCCTCTTATGTAATATATTCATCACCTCTCCAATAAGTGTGAAATTTAAAATAAATTACTCACTATCAAATCATCATTGCTCAGGCAAAACATAATTTTTATAGTTTTCAATCTTGTTTGATTACAGAGCCATCCAATAGAAAATGAGAACCGTATTGCCACACCCACCTGTCACATTCTCTTTTTCATGATTTGTTAATAGTTCTCTGTTACATTTAATATTATATTTATAACCAATAGACAGCCAAGGTTTTCATCTATCAAATAACATATTACGTTGTTTTCTGAACACAGAATTGCCAATTTCTCTTTTAGTACAAGCTTTGTTCCTACAGGAAAGATATCACAAGCGTAAATTAATTTGTAATGGCTCTTGTCACATAGTTAGGGAGCCAGAAAAATTGTAATAATTATGGCGTACTGTTTGCTTTTTGGATGATATTGTTCTATATCCTTTGGTACAATATTTAATTAAATAAAAATTGTTTAGTGCATTAGTACCATTAGTATAAGAAAAGTATGGTTAAGTGTCATCGACAGTCGACAGCAAAAAAAAAAAAAGACGAATTTAGTAAGTATTTTATTTCTTGTTTTTCATTTGTATTCTTTAATTATTATTATAAAAGCAACTAAAAAGTAAAAATAGGAATCTCTTTAGGTTAGTTAAAGTTAGATTAGGTAAAATAAATAATAATAATAAAATAATAAAAAATGTTTCATGAGGCACACGTGCAAGCAGCTTGGAGTAGCTCGTGGGTAATGTATAGTGTAACATGGGCTCTTCATTCTCCAAATGATTTACAACTTACAATGGCATGAACAGTAGTTATACATGGTTCGAAGGGCAATAAAACACTAAAATTTAGGTATAAATAGATGTATACTGGTACGAGTTTAAAGCTCATGGGTAATGTAATTCGATAGTGTAACATGAACTCCTCATTACCCACATGATTTAAAACTTAAAATGGTATGAATAGTAGTTATACATGGTTCAAAGAGCTATCAAAGTGCAATAAAACAATAAAATTGAAGTATAAGTAGATGTATACTATTATGAGTTTAAAGCTACTTAGGATAAACAAATGTAGTTTCATGTTACAATTTGAAGTCATTCTAGAAAGAAAAAGAAGGTAATTTTGATTTCTTTTTCTTGTGGTGGTTATGAGGTCGGTCAAACTGACCAACTTTGTAAAGAGTTAGGGTAGAGAAAATAACAGATAAAATATAGTTGTACTGAAAACAAATGTTTGAAAATGCATTTAGGAGGTTTTAAGGATTATGCAAATGAAATTTGAGATTTTTGAGAGGAAGAAACGTATTTTTAATCTTAACATGAAAAATCACTTTGCACACGGACTAGTAAATAAATACTCTTATATTCAAAGACAAATCTTTTTTTACTTTATTCAAAATACTTCACTAAAAATCTGTATGTGAAAGACTTATAATGTATACTGAAATTATGCCAAATTTTGTAAAGATATACATTCTATATTAAAAGTTAGTAGTATCAAAAAAGTATAGTGAGTTTAAACAAGTACAAAGTGGTCACATGGTCAGTCAATTTGACTAAGCCTGTGTAGAGAGAGTTAATGGCAGACAAGGATAGTTTAACATTCCTTTTTTTTCAAGAAAAACAGATTTTCTAGTTGAACAGTTTTAAATTATATAAAAATTATTAGTAAGCAATTACATACAGAAAGGATTATAAGCTTAAGTAAAAACATAAAATTCTGACTGCACCTGTGAATAATTATGAACTGGAACAAGCTATTAGAAAAATAAATAACAGTGTGCTACATATTACGTAGTTTCAGACAGTGTGTCATACCAAAAATAGAATAAAAGCATGATTAATGAACAACTTTGTGAAATAAAAGGACTGAGTGTAATTTTCACGTCTTTCTCACCTGTAACATTGCAAAATTATATTATAAATAATTTGCCTCTCTTTAATACAAGGCATTTAATCAAAATTATACACATAATAACTTTGTAAAACTACTCATTTAGAACAGCAGATCTAAAATAGTTTTTATAAAAGTGTTCTAGTTTTTTAGTATTGTATTAATAAATTCATAATTTCTTTCAATTGATGTAATTTGTAATCATGTTTGGGATACACAACAATATTGCATGTTTACCTTGAACTTGGAAGTAACAGTCATGATTCTGATGTAGCTGCAATATCATTTGCTCATCTAATTTAAAATACCTTGCAGAAGATGGTGTGGTATCTTCATTCCTTGCATTTCTCTTCCAACAGAGTATTGGCATCTATGATTTGGTAAGGTGTGCTAACTAAATATGGGTACATATTGCAAACAAAAATTCCACATTTCTTTGTTTTCACTCCAGTGACTTTTTCATACTTTTCAATTGCAGCATTTTCATACATTTGACTATACTACATTTGTTAGTCTTTTTGCTAGCTTATAAATATCTTTACATGAGGTTGACTTCACAATTTCATTAAAGTTACTAGAAGTCAACCTGTAGGACCTGGTTCTAGCCAAAGTTGAGAGGTTGCTTACTGTCACATCAGTTCTTCCAAATTTACAGCCTCTTCTTCTGATATTTGGGTAACCTGTAAAGTATAAAATAAACTTTGAATGATTGCATTATGTTAATATTTTATATGCATTAACCTTATTTATACAACTAAAATACAGAATTGTATAAATACCTTCAGCCTTCTACAAAATTCATCTTCCATACACAGTAAGAAATAGCCACGATCATATGCTGTGGCATACATATTTGCTTTTTTGTTTTTGTGAGAACAAAGCAACACTGGGCTATCTGTTGTGTCCATTGCAGGGGAATGAACCCTGAATTGTCGTGTTGCAAGTCTGTAAATTTACCACTGTCTCATCAGGGAACTACATATTCGCTAGTGCAAACATCTGCATCACTGGTAGATTGGTGGTACTCTGTGGTATGAATGGAACAATAAATATCATTATATTTTCCATTTGATGAAGTGTGTGTGTACATTAAATTAAAACTAAATAAAAATAAGTCTTTAAGTGATCTTTCAATACTAAATAGTTTTTATAATGATACTGTGTAATTTAATGTGTTTAATAAACTAACACAACTTTATCATGCAATATAAATTAGTTACAGTACAGTATAAGAAATTTCATACACTTTTCACTAACCTGAGAATTTATGCAATTATTTCTAAGCCTGTTCCAAGTATTTTGTGCATTTTGCATGTTAACATGTCTTGGATCATACCTGTACATGAACTGTATTTTTTCTAATAGCCTTTAAAGGGCTAAATTTCATTAGTAAACTCCTATGTGGCTTTGTACCACAAAAAGTTTGAAGTACCTGTGAAAGTATAATGTAAAAAAAAAAGTGGATGGAAATCAAATTTTGTGATGACACAAACATTATAGTATACTATTTCAAAGCAGAAATTTAGTTGAAACTGACCCCTTTGGGGCCAAATAAATGCCATATGGTTCACATCACATTTATTTATCAAAAATGTATTTTATGCAGCGTATTAAGTAACTTCTTATATATATTCATTAATTATTATCTGTGTACAAGTAAGTTCAGTTAGCATATTTCCACTGCTACAAAACTGGTGAGTGCATAGAGTACTACTGTAACATGTTCACAATGAGCATTTTGGCCTTGTCCCACATCATACTCACATTGGGACACTTGTGTAGAACAGGAAAAGCATCTAGTGATATATCTACATGTTACATCACAGATTTCTTCTTTTCGGCCCATATCACAGCAGAAATGAAAATTAATTATCCATAAGTTGCACAAACTATGCTACATAGAACGTGAAATTCCAAAAATTGATGTTACTGAAAATTTATTAGTTAATGTATTATGCGGTTGGTGAAATTAGGAAATATCATAAAGAAAGTCATACATTGTACTTAAAAAATTTATTCACTAATACCAGTATAAAATACCAGACTATGTATTTTGTAGCAGTAATAATACAATACTAACCTCAGGGTGTACAAGTCTTTGTATTTTTTCATTGAAATTCTTTGAAAACTGTGTTAAATATGAAATCAATATGTCATGCTGGGATCAGGGTAATTTACTCCTAATGTCTGCATGAAGGTGTTTGTATATAGATGATGAAGGGACATCCATTTTGAATACTGGTTTTGTAGATGTTGTTCATGTTGCAGATTTATCTAGAATCCCCAACCTACAAATTACAGAAAAAGTGAACCAACATATCTGTCAGTGTTTCAATAAAGATTAATAAGTCAAAAACACTTCATATTAATTAATAGACTGAATACATACTAGTGAGAAAAAACATTATATAGTATATAATTAAGCATTTTTTAAATAACATAGTTAGAATTTAAATAACTTAATAGCAATACAATATACACAGTTCACAATAACAGTGCTTTCTAATCTATCATGATCTGTCTTGCTTTGTACAATAATCAAAATCTAATTATCAATCTTACTGATTTACCAGTTCCTTTTTTCGTCCAGTTAATTGTTTCTTTAGTTCTTCTCTCAGTTGAAAAATTGTATAATTCTCATATTTTGCCATTTTCTAGTTATAACTTTTGATGCAGGTAACATTCATAATACCACTGTAGCAAAGTATAGGACAAGAATAATCCAGTTGCATGTCAAAGCCATCTAGCAAAGTAGTTCTAAACCTACCTCATTTGACTGCTAGTTCTGCAGTTTCTCTACAAAGCATGTATTACAGCTATAATTTAAGTGCCATATCTGTAGTTTCTCTACAAAACATATGTATTACAGCTGTAACTTGTCAGCTAGCTCTGAAGTTTCTCTGCAAAACATACGAGTTAAACTTACATATGATGTCTCAATGTTATTTATCTATACCAGCTCTGTAATACACATTAAGAATTATCTGAATTATTTTTTGACTGTTTCTACCTGTTAATCAGCTGTCAGATTTGTTTGTAAACATGTTTGAAGTGGAAAAAAAAACAACAAAAAAATCTGCTGCAAATATATCTATTACAGACCACTTACAGTATACATTTTCCAGTCACTTAGAATATAAAAAATTTGGTGAGGGTTAAGATTCAACAGTTTCACTGTCACAAAATAAAAATTTAATTAACCTTTAATTCAAACTTGTAACAATATGAAATATAAAAGACAATGATGACTATTGTGTTGAACCAACTTTAAAAGCTAGATAAAAATTCTTTAAAAAAATTAAACACAAGGGCACATTTTTCACAAAAGTTCATTATCAGACTCATATTAACTTTTAAAGACTTGTTGAATTATGTTACTGCAGATCATGCATGGTAGGCAAGACTAGCATCTGAGAGAAGCAATACTGATTTTTCCAACAAATTATTTCCTGAACTATCATGATGCTAGAAACTAACAGTTGCAGCTTTGTAAATCAATAATTTTGTAATAAAAACTACTAACCATTACTTTCATAATATAAAAATCAGATAAAGTATTTTAGATGTCTAAATAACAGAGAAACAAACATAGTCACAGACTTGCAACAAATAAAATGGTATTAAAAGTTTATTTGCAAAAATCATATAACTGCAATATACAGCATTTTTTCTTCAATATACAATTGTTTAAAAAATTCTTCCACTAAAAAGGAGAAAGCACTTATGATAAAAGTTAATATTTTAGATGAGTAAAATTCAATAGCATTAAGAACCATGCTGGTATTTTTTACATATTTTTTAAAGAGTTGTGTTATCAATGTTACGTATCACAAAATACAATTATGAAGAATATTTATAACAGAATAATAGTAATTTAAAATAAATTCATGGGCAACATGTTACCTAGACATTGTACAAAAAAAGAGACTGCCTATTGTAGCTACAGCCATTTTACATTCACATTTATACAGCATACACCAATTAAAAAATATATCTTCAGAGTACATACCAAATAACCAAGGTTCACAAAAAGTATGAAATCTTGCAACAATTTCTTTTAAACTAAAATATTTAATATGGGAGTGCTTGTTAAGGCAGTGTAGCCATCAGAAAGATGTTATTCTTAAAAGCAATTTGCAATCATTGTGTCCTGAGGAGACGTATCAAGAGCACGTGTCTGAAACCTCATATTACCATATATATTAACTTCTGGTGAAGATAAAAAGTCCATTTTCCTTTTGATTGTTCAAGTACGTTCTTACAGTACATGCTGATTACTCCAAGTGTCATAAGTATGTTTCTTAACCTTACTCCTCATTTATAAGATAAAACAATGATTAATAAAAATTAGACTATAAATTATGGTAAACATACAGGTAAACTTCCTTACCTTTGCTACAAAATTGGCAGATATCACGACTGAAAAAACAAAAGTAACAAAAAACTTTTCATTGTGTACATACATTGCTTTTGATTTTTCACATATAAAAAATATCTAAGCAATATAAGTTTGAACTCTTTCCTACACTGTAAAAGGATTTATACTGATAAATTAATGTCACTTGTTCAACATTTTTATTTATTCTTTTATTAAAACTAGATAATGATTTCTGAGAATATTTTTAACATTATTACATACTGAAGTAAACAAAAAACACACAACAAATAAATACATATTTTTATCTTCAGCAAATATACTTTTGTGAACCTCAGCCATAATGAGAAACCTAACACAATAAAATTTCTGATGATGAATTAATCTGAAGTAAGCTAAAAACTAAAACATGGCACAGTAAAATAATCTCTAGAGTAAAAACAACATATTTTTTGTAGATTTTTTATTATTTTCTCATTAGAGGATTTTTTATATACTAAATAAAATGTTAATTGGTAATTTAGAAATATGTAAAATTTGTTAACATAATAAGTATATTTTTAACTGCCTACTTCAAAATTAAACTGATAACCAATAAGTATAAATCATTACTCTGCAGTTAACTTCTATATGGGTTTTTCACTTTTATGAATGCAATCTTTTGAAATCCTATTCCCCTAATTTATGATTACATTATTATTTTCTGCTCTTATGTGTAAAAGAACTGTTTGTAAAATTATTTGAACTGCCTTACTTGTCAGCCAACACTATATATGGACAGAATGATACTACTGGCTTGGTTCACATTAATTGGATATAAAAAAGATTAGTTATACTTACTGACTTTTAATACAGTGCAGTTCATCTAATATTCTAAGCTATATATGAAAAACATCCCCAATTATAATAATGAACATGTTCAAACAGGGAAAACTAAGTTGCTAACAAACTGGATTCCATTGTTGAGCAGTAACATCATTATTAGTAGCAACATTACTAACAATGTTACTTTTTTAGTAATGTCCAAGGTAATGACACAATTTTTAAAACTTTTAAATGCTTTCAGTAATGTCATTAATTAATTTTAGTCAAAACACCATGTTATTCATTACTTTTTAAATTCAGTAATATTATAGCCTACTAATATACTTAAAATATAAAATAACTAATAACAATTAGTAGCTAAAACTATATGGTTAAAACAATGACAATAATTAATAAACTAATAAAAATAATCATAAATATAATAAATAATATACCTTTTAAATAGCAGAAATATTGGAACAACAACAAAGGAATGAAGTATTGCACATGTATTCCTGCTGAAACATGTTTTATTTGAGTTCTAAATTTGTAGACTTGTAGTACAGGCCATCACACTAATCAAGGATGCCTTTGGTGTGTATTTTCTGTCAGTTGTCTGTAAACTATCAGGTTGTGAGATTATGTGTAGCATTATGTCATACAAAAGTGGCACCAGTTTGAGCAAAACTCCATGTAACAAATACTTTAAGTTTACTGGAAGAAGTAGTGATGACAACTTACCATACAAATGCTTGCTTTGCTTGCCTTTAAAGAAAATGTTCAGTGTGAAAAGTAAATCTGCAAGCAACTTAAAAGAACATGTCCATAAAACATTTCTCCATTGCTAAGGAATTTGAGTCTACTGTGAAACAAGGTGCAGCACAAAACAAACAAACATTGAAAGGAAATGAAGGTAATGAAAACTTGCACAAAAAGCTTCTAGTTGATCATCATGAGAAAATACAACAGCATCTAATGTTTGGTCTAAGCTCCTGAGTGTCTCAACAAAATCTGAATTGGCTAATATTGGTTTCAGTTTTTGTCATTTATTGTTGTCAAGTCCACATTCGTTAGAAATTTAATCACACCACTACAGCCAACAAAAACAGTCATTTCTCGAAGAACATTAATGAGTCAAATGAACAATGTCTATGAGAAAAAAAATTATCCTTCTCAAATCACAGTGGTAGTCAAGACTGTCACTATGATTGTTGACTGCTGGAGTTGCACAAACAGGTAATTAATTAATAAATTAACATTTTCTTAAATGAAAAATGTATTTCTAATAATACCTATCTCTTCCCACACTATAGCTATTACTTGAGTGATAAGGTTTCTTTATCTTTGGTCCAATTTTTTTTTGCTTTCTCCAGTCTTTTATTCTCCACTTTATTGGCATTGGCAATATTTGTCTCATGACACTCTCCACCTACATCAATGCACCCTCTAACTTGATGTTGTATATAAGGACCTCCTTCAGATAATATTGTCAGTTTTTCGAGACTGACACAATCTACAGTCTCTAACACCAGCTCTTAGTTGGGAGGAAGGGTGGGAGAGTAGGTAAGCATTATTGGAAATACATTTTTGACTTAAGATGATGTTAACTTCCAAAACATACCTCCACTCACATTACAGCTTGAAACCCACATTGATAAGGTGGAGGGGCTGGTGAGGATATTATCCATACAGAACGAGTCTGCATAAATTGTGGTCGTGACAACAAAAGATTAGCACCCTAGTGGGGGAACTGCACTACATCCAGAACAGGCATGCTCTTCACCCAGAGCCTAAATCATTCACTGCAGGTAGAATTTGATGTGATCCATCATCACCATTAGCCAGGTTCCAACCAGATAGCAGAGGTCCCACTGTTCAGGGTTGGAGTTATAGGGCCATGGCTACTAAATCCCACACTGGTGGCTAGGGCATTTGGACCACAATATATATGTGCGAGTGGATCCAAACCTGTAGCTATAGAGTGATGCATTCCTAGCCACTAGAATCCCAATGAGAAGGTAAGCAACACCAAAATGGACAAACCCTCTTCTCAATCTAAAGAAGTCTGAAAAGCAACACCCAAACTCAGAATGACAGAATTCTGTATGCCATACTCAACCTGAGAAAACAGAACAAAGATAACCTGGAATACATCCTGGAAAACTGAAGGGTCACAATGAATAAAAAAAAACCACTGTCCAGTAGCTCTAAAAGCCTTAGTGTGGGCCACGTTATACTTTAAGGCCCTCACCAGACAATAAAAACTTATGAGATCCAATCGGTCATAGAGATGAGACATAGTGGTCAGATGAATCGGTGAAAAGGATTTATCCCCTTTCCTGGTTGCCAGTGTCTGAGGTAAGAAGGACCTGTCTGGATATAGATAGAATGATAGTGTCCTGCGCATGTGCAGTGCAAACAACTCAGACCTGCAAGGCCTGCAGGCTTGCAGCAATGAAAAATAAACCTTAAGAGAAAGGTGATACAAGGTGAATGAAGCTAAGAGCTCAAACAGATGTTGAGAAAGAGCATGTAACACCACCTTTATGTCTCAGTTAGGTAACTGAAATGGTCATTTGGGACAAGGGATCTGAAGCAACTTGATGAGGCCAGAGAGCACTGGGGACTCAAAGAATTACTGTCTCCTTGAGTATCTAGAGCTAACCAATATGGCTGCTTGATATAGGGTGATTGCTGGAAGATGCGATACCCTTGTCAAAGAGCCACATCAAAAACCAAGCTAATGTTGGTACGTCTGGACAAAGTGGATTCAACATCTTCACAATACACCATTGTTATTATGTGTGCCATTTCCATTGATAAACATCCATCATGGGGCAGCACACAGACTGAGACAGGGACATGGCAACCTTAGAAGTTAAACCCTGATGCAGTGTGAATGACTGCATAAACTCCACACATGAAGCTTGATTAAATCAAATTAAATTAAAATTGTTACCAAACAAAAATTGTTCAGAATCACACAATACCAACGTCATTTAAAAAATAAC